TTGACATTCATCATGGATTCGGTCCAGCTCAGTCAATGCTGACAGCAGCTCACAGACTCAACTCACGTGAATGACACAGGTCAAGGTCTCTTTACTCACATCACTGCACTTGGACATTTTCAGGCATGAGCTGTCCCATGGCTCCTCTGCGGCCCAGAGGGGTATAAGGACCAGTGACAGAATGTAGGGACCTGCCCTGGAGCATGCGCTGCATTTGTTCACAGTCTGAGAGGTGCAGACCTCTTTCACCAACATACCAGAGACGTTAGCAAACCAAGTGTGATACTTTATGGATAAATGCCCAGGATTCACCCTTCAACCCTCCAAATACTTTGGTTAACATCAACTATAATCACATAAAGCAGGGACAACGCAGATAGGAAATCTGAGCTATTTGTTTTTAACAGTTAGCATCTAATGAGGACTCACCTGTTCTCAGCAGAACCTAAGTCCTTGACCTAGATTCTCTCTCTAAATCCTCACAACATCCTGAGTCAGGTACCATTTTACCCCAGTTTTACAGGTGAAGAAACCACAGGAGCTTTAATAGGTTGAGTAGCTGGTCCAAGGGCACAGAGCTATCAAGTAGCGGCCAGGGATTTGAACCCAGCCGAGCTGGGCTATGCTGCCTTGGATTGACATATGATGCAGGTAATAGAATTTTCAGTTAACGTGAGAACTGTGGAGTAAGATAAAACATAAAACCAACACTTAGACCAGTGCCTTCCACATGGTAAGTAGCCACCATTGACAGACATTTCGTCACTCACAGCATGAAAGACAATGTTGCTTAGTCAACCTAACATTAAGGAAACAAGTATTATCTGCCCTTTTTTGGTGAAGATCACAATCATACAATACACACAGATATCTAGTATCAGCTGGGCGCAGACAGTCTAAAACAATCACTGAAACTAAGGAAATACAGAACTGTTCCTAAGTGTTCGGGGTACTGTGAATACATAACAGTATTCTATCCGAGCAACATAATAAAAAAATGTTAAAAAAATTAAAAAACCTCAAGTGGTCGTAATTATAAAGACTGAAAAGATTTAAAATTTCATTTTAATGTCTAAAATTATAAAGCCTCAAATGAATCATTACATGTTGTTTTAATAAAGTTTAAAGTTTAGCACCTAGCAAAGAGCCTTACACACAGGTTCCAATAAATCATTCTGGAATGAATGGCTGAATTCATGAATATGCTTTTATAACAGATAGACATTGTTCTTTCACTATGTCTGGGAATTTTTCTTAATTCTATGATGCAGGTTGCATGACCCTTCCTTATTAATAATGATTTTTCTGAAAAAAATCCCAGGACTATCATCATGAAAGACAAAAAGGAAAAATTAATAACCCGCCCCTAAATAATTAAGAACAGAAACGAAGTTTTTGCCTTTGCAATGAGATAGGAGAGGTAAAAAGAAAAGCAGCTTCTTCAAAATATCTTTATTAACATTTAAGAAAATATAAAATTGTTCTCTATGCAGCAGCATGAAAACACATGAAACAAAAGTATACATTTAAGCCACTGTGACTGGTGAAGAGTAAAGACATTTCTCAGTATATATATAAGAAAACAGGTAAACTCGGATCAAGAAAATACCTCTTTCTCAAAAGCTTTTTGTGCCTTGGTTTACCCTGGGGACTCAACAGTTTATTCAATGTGCTCTCAAAAATAACTGTTTTTTTTAAAAGAACTTCTAAAAAACTAATATGAGCACAAAAATACAGATCACTGCAGTTATTTCCATAAAGTAAAATGCTAAATTAAATCTACACTGACCAAACTATTTTGTAAACCTCCATCCTGTTTAAAAGGAAAACAAACAAATAGAGCGGTATATAGAGAATAGTTTTTCTATATATAGAAGATTTCCAGCAACAGTTTCTACACCATTCCAACAGAGCTGTGTCCTTTCACCAATAGCAAATCTGAGATTCCCCAAGTACTCCCCACTCCTTAGGAAAATCAATAGCATTACCTGCAGGGTGCGTAGGGTTGCTTGTGCATAAGGCTTTTATCTCATTTTAGCAACATTAAAAAAAAAACAAAAAAAACCGCAGGATGTATACAACCTTGGCGCTCACCATTACTGTGGCCTCCTTAATACAGTCTGCTAAAAGTGCTGTGGTTCAGTTTGACAAGCTTCATCACACAGCTAATGCGACAAACAAAAAGGATGACTGTACTGTATATCAGGTGAAGGAGACCCTTAAAATCAGAGGGAGTTGTATTATTTGAAGAGACATGATTATTTTTAAAAAAGAAAAGGAGATTGAGGTAGCAATATTTCCCCCCAAAATTTAAAAATTAATAAATTAAATAAAAACAGTAAAAGAATCCAAATTGAATGTGATGTGTACTTTCTAAATCCGGCCTGCACTTGTACATCATTTCCATAGATGAAGCACGTAATCTGTGTTAGAAAAACTGATATATGCATATGAAACACACCAAGCCATGAATTTAATTTTCATAATCACGATCTCATTTACCTAAATGTTTGGTGCTAAGTAACAGAAGTAGTAAGTAGTGGAAGACAAAATATTCACACCTAAGAAGGTTACATATTAAACAGCCTTAGTTTCTGCCTGCTATTTGCTAGAAGAAATCTGCAGGGAATGAAGCCTGATGCCTGACTCCATGTGTGACAAAGCATTTAAAAAAAAACTATTGATAAGTGCATCGCTTTGATTTTGACTATGCAATACTAAGTACAAATTTTAAAGGCCAAGCATTGGTCAGTAAAAGTGAATCCCAGTAGTTCTCACGGTTCAAACAACTTTTAAGAGGATAGGAACCTGACTCAATTTATCTATTGGAACATAAATATTTTTCATGGTTAAAAATATAAACATTTTTCACACTTACAAAATATGCACAACAAATATTACTTGAGACAAAACCTAGCAAACAGATCTGCCTATTGTCAACTTTCTTAGCTTTCTGAGAAGCTAATTAATCTATGCAATTAAGAGTGGAATAAATTCATAGTGCTGAGCAGCAGCTTAACTGGGACATAGTTATCTTACAAGGAAAAGAAACCACATACAAAGGAAAACAAGGTGCAGAATATTTCCCAGAGTCTGAGGAAATACTTTTTTACTTTTCCACTTTTTTCACTGACTGTTTAAAAATATATGCTTGCTCCTAAGGAGAAAAAGGAAGACTTGGTTAGGGAGTAAATCTTCAAAGACCCCAAAGTTACAAAGATTTACACACAAGTCTCATCTTCCAACAACTGTACTAAAGTTCCTACACTTGTACTTACAAAATAAAGCAAAACAAAACAAAACACAAGACTGGAAGGTAGCTCCATCTACTTCACTTTCTGAGCTGGGATTTACACACCTACCTAATGAGTTTTCTCTCTCGCACTTTCTCCATCAAATCTCCAGAGAAACACATGCGCATACATGCAAACACACACGATGTATCGATCACTGTACGTACAGGTTCATCAACAACATGACACAGGACACAAGTCACAACACGATAGAACAAATAACTAGGACAGAGAGAAATGGGTTTCTTTTAAAGCTTTCTTGGATCCTTCATGCCCCTATGCCTACACATTTCCTATTCATCCAGGCACTTTAAAGGATCAGAAAGACAAAACAGGTTGCATTAAAGGAAGAGAAACAAAACAGAATGTTCGCTATTCGGGGGCCCTGTAAAATCAGCCCCGGAACCCGGCTGCACAGAAGTGCAGCATGAAAGAATGCCAGCCTGGACCGTAGACACCCGAGTTAAGCACCTTGCAAGCGAGGAAAGTAAATACATAATAGTGGTCATTGTCATTAAGAATAAAAACAGTAATAACGATTGTCACCACCGGGTTCCGTACAGCAGGTGCACGTGGAGCGGGCTTCTCCTGCAGCCCGGCAGAGCGGCTGGGCAAAGCGAATGGCCTCGGCGCGCGCCGCCCGGTGGGGCGGGACCCGCTGCGCAGTGCTCCGCAGGCGGGTGCGCTCCCCGCCCGGCCCCGCCCGGCCCCGCCCTCCCCTCTACGCCTGCGCATCCGGCGGCCGGGACGCTTTTATCGGCTTCCGGTTGCTAGGGCCTGTCTCCTTGGCCTCGGGTCGCACCTGGCGGTTGGGGGAGGGTGGCCTGGGTGCTTTCTTTCTGGACAGCATATACCGCGGGAAGACCTGCGACCTCACTTGACCTTAACCTGCCTAAATTCCCAGGAAGAGGAGATAAAAAAAGGAAAAGCTGACTGTCTTCAGAAGCAGCTGATTGCCCTAAAGGAGAGCGTACGAGTCCAACGTTTCCAAGCACCTCTTCCAATAATAAGAACGGAAAATTACAGGCATCAAGTGGGACGTACTACCAGGAAGCATACCTTGAGTGCTTGTGTGCAAGTCATCCTGGGGGTATAAAGCGGCCCATTTGTGCAGCTCCAGAGCGTAGCCGCCTAGACTGTCAACGGAATAGTGATGTCCCAGGCACTTTGATATTGTCCCGACTAAGCACACATATTTGGTTCTATCTTCTGGCGTCATTTCTCAAACAGTACTAATTGGGACCGCGATCCTGGAAAATCTCATTGTACTGAAGACCATTTTATTTTTGGGTTAAATAGTTATGGCCCAAGTGTAGTGGCTGAAATTTAAAATAAGTCATTATTACAGAAAGGAAACAACTTATCTGTGAAGAGTTAGGTATTGTGGGTCTTCAGAGGCCATGGAAGGACTTCCTCACCTTTTTGACCAAAAACTCTTTCCAAATTTATAAATTGATAATATTTTGGAGGTAGAAAAAAAATGAGTCTCAGTTCTACTGTTCTGGAAAATCAGTATTTACTAGCTGAGATAACACTGACTGAACTTTTTGCTAACATGTGAAATTTTAAAATGATCCTGATTGGTGACAGTATATGTATTTTTAAATTTTGTATTAATTATAAACCTAAATTTTATTTAGATTCTAGAAGTTTTAAGAAATTATTTTCTTCCCCTCTTTTCCTTTTATAGGAATTCTGCTTGGACCCAGTATAGTATTAGTGCAGAACAAGTTTCATTAGGATGTAATCTGCATTCGAATGAATTATTTTTCAGCAACAATTCAAACATATTCAAAAACTTTTCAATTCTCAATAGCTGTGAAAAACAGTGCTTATTAGTAAAATGCAAAACCATCCACAACTTCTTAGAAGACCCTTACCTCCAAATCTCCCTAAGCTGTCTTTATGTCAGAAGAAAGCCCGTGCAGGTATGTGCATTACTCAGATGTTTAACTTTATTTTTTTACAGAAGTCTCTCAACCTGCACAGCTCAGAATCACAATAAGGACATTCACTAATAACCAGCAACTTACAAATGTTTGTTGTAAGATGGTAACATCCAATTCATTTCTACAAGTACAGTTTATCCTCATCATTTGTGGATTCTGTAGGAGTGAATTTACCTAACTGCTAGAATCTATTTGTAACCTCCCAATCAGTACACTGTACTATATTTTGTCTTTTTAGCTCCAAAATATACCATGAAGAACACTTCGGAGCAGTATATAGAGCTCTTTCTCAGTCCTTTTATAATAGTGAAACTGTGCAGGAGGGGGGTATATATGATAATTCTCGGACACATGCAGGGCATTGAAAACACACATGTTCCCAGCTGAGGTCAAAGAAAGATATGGCTGTGCCTTCTTGTTTTAGCTCTCATATTACAAATAACTGCCCTTTTCCTGGTCTAGTTAGTACCATGTTTTCTCAATTCTGTACTTTATGTTGGTGATTTAACCGTCTAAAATAGCCCCTAAGTATAGTACAAGAAGGCTGTGATGTGCCTTATGGAGAAAATATATGCCTTAGAGAAGCTTCCTTCAGGCCTGAGTTACAGTGTTGTTGGCTGAGAGTTCAATGTTAATGAATGAACGATCTATATTAAATAAAGTGTCTTGAAATAGAAGCACATATAAAACAAGGTTATGTATTGATTGGCTGCTGATAATGTTGAGACCAGAGGCTTGGAGGAACCTAACCCCGTATTTTCCCAAGAAGTAATGGTTCAGTGTTGGATAACTCAGTGCTCACTGAGACTACAGAACAGAACTGCCACAAATCATGAGAACTGAGTGTACTTATAAGCACAGTGCTAAGAACTGGAGATATAATAGTGAGCAAAACCAAGTCTGCCACCCCTCTTTCTTAGTTACCCTCTGGTGGGATCCAATGATCTGATCATACAACTAAATGTAAAATTATCTGTGATAAGTGCTGTGAAGTAAAGATGAGCCACTTTTATGATTATAACTTTATATAATACCCTTAATCCTCTATTTCTGTATATGGTATTTATTAACTCCTTACTTATAAGCAATGGTAAAATTAGCATATTTCCTCTTCTTTCCCCTTTTCAGTCTCCTCTACCCCCTGATTTTAGTTGATTACATTAATTATTTTAGTGTCGGCATTTATACTGTTAAAATGTGCCTAGTCTAACTTGATTTACAATGCTATATCATTACCTTTTGATCCATGGCTATTAAAGATGTGTGAATCAACATACCTATGTTACATCCAATTTCCTCTCTCACTTTCCCTACCAACTTTTGTTATATCATTTCTACATTTCATAATGGTCTACATTTCTGCATTTACAATCTGTTCTGTAATAATAATACCCACAGTTATGTAGATATACTGCTCACTACTAGTTCTTTGGTTGTAGTTTTTCCGTTTATCTTTTGGTTGAAGTTTATCCTCTAGTACAGAGTTTCTCACTCTTGCTATTTTGGGCGGGATAATTTTTTTGTGGGGGGGGGGCTTTCCTGCTTTTGACAACATGGAGATTCAATGACCTTAACTATTAGTAATCCTGTGTCTCCAAAGGTTCTTGGCAGAGTGCTTTGCATATAGTAGATGTTCGAATACTTGAATAAATGAATGAATACTTAAAATGACTGAAATACAATTTATAAAAATGAATATTCAAACACTGAAATAAAAACCTGAAATAAATACCTGCAGTTTGCATACAATGCTAAATGCTGTAGGGAATGAATGACACTATTGATCTGGTCCCTGCCTTTCAGGACCTTTCAAGAACTTCAGTTAAACTCTAAAGATGAGATACACATACAGTAAGTACCTTAAATAATAATACAAAAAGCATAGAATTTATGCCCAATTAATGGTACAGACAGTAGTACTTCATAAATGTGAGAAACCCTGGGGCAGGAATGGGGTGTGAACTAAGACTTGAGGAATTAGTGAAAGTGAAATGAAATATGTTTAATTATAGAGGAGACCCGTGTAGTTTTTGATGGCAGAGGAGTCTATTGGAAAAGTGGAATTTTAACGTACTAGAAGAAAAAGAAAAGAAATCATGGGGATGGGGAAATGTATCAAAAAATAGGGAAGTCTATGGGCTTCCCTGGTGGCGCAGTGGTTGAGAGTCCATCTGCCGATGCAGGGGACGCGGGTTCGTGCCCTGGTCCGGGAGGATCCCACATGCTGC